TAAAACTCTATAGTAAAAATTTTATCGTCACCAAAGACGACGGTACGTTTAGACGATTGTAAAAATAGAGGAGAACGTACGATTCTTCTTGTAGCTGAACGGTGTCGTGCGATTTTTCTCAGCTCCGCGACTGGAAATGGATAAAAATGGACGAAGGGACGGAAGCACCCAACCGTCTTTGTGGCGAGTCGCAACCGCGATTTATATTCGCGCGATGCATTTTCATCGTCGCATCGATAATGCATCCGTCAGATTGTCAGTTGCGGTGCGACAGCCAGAAATCAAGTCTACTTGTTCGTAGAAACTTACGAATGCAACGAAACCGAATTATGTTTGATCACTGACTAGATCATCCGTTCGGCGAGAATAAAAAACCGCGCGTATATGGAAGAGCTTTGTTGTGAGCTTTCGCGAACTTCCGCTCGTACAGTTCGCGCGGAAATGTCTTTTACTTGCGAAGAAATAGCGCGTTTTGAATTTACCACGAATAATCGACGTGATTTATCTCTCCGCGCGCATGAACCGACGCGTATCGACGTAAAGGAAAAAAAAAAGAGGAACATCCGGAAGCTGTACATTGTCAACGTTGAAACGGAAGGTGTGCCTTGCGTGACGACGATTTTCCATTTTTTTTTTCTTTCGCCCGCAGAGCGACAGTGTCGGCTTGTCGATCACGATCTCTCCGTCCGCTTCATTCGCTACGTTAGCCATGGAGACACGAACCCGCCGTTCCTATTCGGTCAACAACGCGGGTGCGGCGAACAATTCTTGCGTTATGAAATGTGAAGATATTGTTTCTGATATATTGGCACTATGTTCGATATTCGATGAAATGGACTGTTTAGAAATGGTATTAACGTTACATCAATAAAAATTTCACATTTTCTCCATAAACTGGTGTATTTTGTATTCCGTGAAACTGTATGTTTTTAGTTTTCTATTTTATTTAATAAATTATACATATATGTACATAAATGGAATGTATACGTTTTATTATATATTGAATATTTCGTATAAATGATACATGAAAAAGAGAGAGAGAGAAAGGGAGGGAGGGAGGGAGGATAAGAGAGAGTCGCTCTTGTACATAAAAGATGGAAGAGTTTTCAATACAGAAGAGCCGAGAGGTGAATTACTATGATTAGATATCCGACCGGTGATAATCCACTTTCGTGTATATGAAATAACCGAGGCTTTTCAATAACGTCAAGCGAGATTAATGTGATTAGACGGATGAGTACACAACCTCGTTGAGATGCATGATGTGGTCGTGCATAATATGAGATACACTTCCACATCTTGCTCTTGTTCCGCGCTCTCGTCAAAATGAAATTTCTTTGGAAGGTGGAAATTTAAGCGGGGTTATATTACGAGAGTTTCGTCGAAGCTATGTACAAAAGGAAGAGGAGAGTAACAGGAAGAAATCATAATTTTAAAGAAGCTTTAATCACATTAACGCAGAAGCGAAAGAGGGGACTCTTCTTTATTGTGCGCTTTTGACAACGGTTTAATCGAGAAAGTCATCCTCTAGTTGAAGTTTCATGGTCTCTTCTTTGCAAACGCTACAGAAACCACGCGGAGCATCTGAAGGTCAATGATGAGACTACGATCTTGAAAACACGAGCACGTGCTACGGATTAGCGATTGTACAGATTAAGAAAAATATCGTCTTTGTGAAACTAATTGCAGCTTGGAGCAATACATTTAGCAAGTAATCGGGTTGAGCCAATGTTCAATTTGAGACTTTCTTTTATAATATTTAATTTAAACGCATACGTATATTGAATATAAGAATTTTAAAAATGCGATAGAATTTTCATGATCGTGTAACTTCGCAAATTAAAATGGTTTTAAAAGAATACAAAACGTTTGCTAATATTAGAATATATTGTATTTTTTTCGTAATATTTTTTCCTACAATTCTTTCTTAAACACTTGCATTTTTAAATACAATTCAAAATACGAGGAAAGGGAAGGAGCCCAAAACAATACTATTACATCGTGTAGCGGTGGATAAGCCGCATTCAATTTTGATTTTCTGCACGACGATGGAGAACCGTTACGTGCAAAAAGCCGCTTGAGTCGAAGGTGGTAGGATGAAAAATGTAACAGGATGTAAATAAGTATTTGTTAGGCGGAGGAAGTAACATCTTTATTGCCGGCGTTGAACGGAGAGTGAGAGACAGTGTAGCAATTCTTTCTCTCTCTCTCTCTCTCTCTCTCCCGCTACTTTTCTCTCTGCGTGTACTAAGGTCTTGCAGTCGGCGGCCGCGCGGTCTGGGTCATAAATAAAGCGGTGCACACAGAAATTACAGTGGAGCGTAACGCTCGTAATACCGCGGCGGAATAGAACGGAGAAAAATGTAATCGACGATGAGGCCGCGCACGCCACGAGCGGAGCCGCCGCGCGGTATCCGCTTTCGTGGCGAGAGAGTTTCGTATCCGCGAAGCAAGACGTCATATTCAAGAATTGCATTTACCGGTTCGACGAAACTTTCGTGACGTCGGCGCGAAACCCGCTCGCGAAACTTCACGGGTCTCACGCGGATCTATTCGCGATGCGCAGCATGAATCATCGTGATGGAAAAGCGATAAAAGGAAAAAAATACATATCATAATTGCACACACACACACACACCATCTTGTATCTCTTTCTATGTTTTTTTTGTCTTTCGCAATCTTCGCGAACTTTTTCGTTGTCATTAAATTGTTTCGACATTAAATTTCAAGATTCACTTATATACTTTTAACCGAAATCACAGAGACGATAAGAATAATATAATGAAAAGTACGACTTTGGGGGTTGTACTCATGCGGGAAAGTTGCTCTTTGATCATTCAATTTAAGATCAAAGATTCCAGAGCTTGCCGTCGACGCGGTCTTTAGCGCGCGGGGAGAACGCGGGGGTAAAACGTTGCCGTCGGTCGACGTCACGTTATTGCGCGCCGCTGCCGCGCCGTACACGGGAAGTACGACCGGCATTTATAACGTCCTGGGGGTGAAGGAGATAGCAACGGTGGTTACGCCGTAGGGAGGGTGTGGATACTGATTTACAGCCGCGAGTCACGCCACAAAGCCACCATTTCGAGACGAACGCGGTCGGAAACGCGGGTTACTCGACAAGAAGGATGTTCGGTGCGCTCGTCGCGCGCGCTACAATGACAACGACGACAAGGGTTACTTTCAAAGTAAATGCACCGTCGTCTCGCGCACATGTTTTCGATTTTTATGCCAAGAGAGAAAGAGAGAGAGAGACCGATGCACTGACACGATTAAAGATTCGTTTTACCCCCCGAAGAAAAACGTTCGTTTATAAAAGCTTTACGCGCGCGGATTAAAAGCAATGGCAAACTAAAAAACAAAAGACCGCAGAGATATCATTTCCGAGAGTACATGTGAAAAATATCGAAGTTTGCACGATCAATGTTGTTTTCCACGTATTTTCTTCAAACATCCATGCAAGAGAAATGTAAAGCGAAAATAAATGTTTCTTCTTCGGAATGAAAATTTAATATTTCGTGGCAATAATATTTTTCTCTCATCTCAAAGTTGCGAAAACTGTTTACGAGTAATGTATAAGAATTGCGCGTGTCGTCACACTTATCATCTGCCACTCCGCGTCGTGTAATTTTGCTTGCGATTGTCTCTCATATTTATTCGCACAATTATAATTAGTTACTTAAATTCGCCGTCGAATATTACATTTGAACCGTATGGTACTTATTACGTATTACTGAACTCTCGCGCGATGTTTCGGAACTCATGCAGAACTGCATGCACGTATAACTGATACGCATAATTCTATCCAACTTGTAGCAGCTCATCGCGGACTTTGAAAATCAGAAATGCGTCTCTAACATTGCACCAACCGAAAAGTGTTATAAATATGCTAATTTATTACCGAGGTTATCGATCGAGAGCGAAAAGCTAGTGGTCTGGTATATCTGTATACAATATTGTTTGCACATGCAAAGGAGAACAAGCAAGCGAGCGAGAGAAAGAGAAAGAGAGAGAGAGAGAGAGAGAAGGAAAGAGGGAGATTCAATTTAGGCAGTTTTGAATATCAAATCGTACGAGTAAATAATCACGGTAACAATATTGTCTTAACGACGTATTCCCCATCATTAGGGCGTCTCTTTATCCCGCGCGGTGGGATTTACATCGACTACAAGCGTTAATTAAGAGCGTATGTATAAGACGACTAATGTTCAAACATAGAATTCAATTTGGCCGGAGCTTTCCCGCGCTACTGAAAATCGTGCTAGATTTAATTGAGAGTAACTTTGTTGTAACCCACTTCTCTAACGGGGGAAGCTCTCGTCCGAACTTAGCGAAATTCTAACAGAGACCTAATCGAGGAAGAGTCAGCCAGCCAGCCAGCCAGCCAGCTCCCTCTCGTGGCCGTAATTACGCCGCGAGATAATTTGGCGGGCTCTCTCCGAGTCATTCGGCTATACCCGCGCAATTTTGCCACGAAACACTTTTAATATCGAGTCTTCTTAATGGGCTCCATTAACGCGCCCAAATATAATCGCTCGGGGTTATCTCTCTCGCTCGATAATATTTCGCGTAATGGTTCCGCTGTGCAAAATCACACGCTGATAAGTAATGAAACACTCGTTAAATTTACACTCTCTCTTGCGACTAATTGCGTCGAATGAAAAAAATAAAAAAAGTAAAACGCGCGGTCGCGCGCGATTTCTTGACGAATCGTTCGCGCGATTTGTTTTCGCACAACTTTCGTAATCCGTGAAATTTTGCAACGATAGAAACGTGTCTTATCGGCTCGCACAAAGTGGCTTTCTTATCAAAGTGCACTCGAGGAAACAAACTCGTTGGAAGTGTTCTGATATTGTGTATCATTGGTTATCTGGAAACACGACGCGCGGGGATACGACCGCGTTTATGCACGAACATGCACATTTCTGTAGTATTTACCGCAGTTAACCCACTTTCCGACGCGTATTTCGAGTTAACGATTGTTGTTGCTTTGTTAACAGGTTCGAGCGTCCCGACCGTCCGCAGTTTCTTGTCGTTCTCACCACCACTGCCTCCTCTAATCTTGTGAAAACCAGCGTTTTATCTGTGAGTAACGTGTTCATCTCGTTGCCAATAACACGTTTTTTATTCTCATTCTGCAGAGAAAGAGAGAGAGAGAGAGAGAGAGAGAGAAATGTTTTTTTGTCAGCAAAAAAGTTTCTTTTTTTGAGCTTACGATGAAAAATCACCGCGCAACCAATTACACACGTGTGTGCGATGCAGTTTCCCGATTTCCTCGGGAGTTCCGTATCGTCAGCTTGCGCCGCGTTTCAGCTTCCCGTTGTGTATTTGCTGTCTTTGTGTCACGGCATTAGAACCTGTGCTTACGAGCTTAATGACGGGACTTAAACAGTCCCTTTGGAACCTGTCGCGCGCGGTCGTAGAATCGGAGAGCACGAAACTCCGCGTGTATATGTGTGTATATATAGGTTTGTTCCTCGTGTCCCCTTCGTTGCTACTGCTGCTACTGCAGTCGCCTACGGGATGTATTCGAGGAAACTGCATCGCGAAATCCTCAGCGCAGCCATCGACTGGCGCACGAAACCTCAGAGAAATAGTTTCGCCCGGATCTTCCTAATGAACGGCATCGTGATTTCGTTAATCACAATTAAAGGAGCGTGGGGGAGGAAGATACGAGGCTAGATCTTGTCGACACGCGGAAATTTAGGACCTTTCGCGAAACTCGGGGAAACTGGCGTCTTAATTATCTTCGAATTTTGCACCGTGTCGTGAAATTTCCTCGCATTTTCGCGATCAATCTCGTGTACGGTTTTAAATAAAAGAAAACAAACATTGTTTTGTTAGCGCTAACAATGTGAATATCGAATTGAAATGGATGAACTATATCGTGGTTTTATGAAAAAAAAAATAGTTTCGAAACAAATTATTTTTTCGCAACTCGAATTCCGCACAATAAAGTGAGTTTCCCCCCGGTGATATAATAATGTAAAACGAAATATCAATTGTATGCGGTTCTCACTTACAAGATCGTGTCAAAACAAATGTGATAACATTTATATGTTTTTTTTCTTTCTTAATTAACGAATTTATATAATTATTTATCCGCGGAAGTGATCTCTCGATTATTTATTAATGAGAAACTTTTGTATTATAACGCTAACATTATGTCGATATCATGCAAAATTAAATAATATCTCCGCTTTGTTTTAATCGACGGTAAGATTGGATTGTCTTTTGTACACGAAAAAAGAAGAGTTGTTTTAATTAAAGTCGACGTCACGGATTGCCACAAAAATAAATAGCTCGTTCAATTTGCGTATGCGATTAATTCAACATCTAGATTCTTAAGGCAACTATCTGCTGTGTGTAGTTTAACAATATTGATGTTGCTTTAACAAAATTTCAATTAAACTGATGCTGTTGATTCAACATCAAATTTTTTTTCGTGTATATCAGAGAGGTAAATATATTACATATACACGCACGCGTGCATATTTAATTAAAAATTTGAAAATAAAAAAATTATCAACAGTTCCTCTGCGATATTAAACCATTTTGCCAGGGGAGGTCGAAATATGAAGTCATCCGGCGCATATATGATCAGAATTTTCTGGCTTCGTACACTGAGTTGAATTCAGAATAAAGCATCGCACGTATAAGGGACAACGGGGTAATGTAAACGAAAAGAGAAAAGGTGAACAAAAGGGAAACACACGAAGAAAAAGAATTGAGGACGTGACATGGTCATACCTCCAATGCGGAGAGAGAGAAAATACATGTATGTGTACGCGCGCGCGTGTGTATATGTGTGTGTGTGTGTATTCTGTCTATAAGTGTGCACCAATCGACTCGGCCGATTAGTTTTGCTTTTGGAACAGTTTATATTACATAGCAGTTTAATTATATCATAATCTCTTTTTTTTCTTGTCCACTTTCGGCACTTCCGACTGCCTGTTTTTATCGCATCCTTTTTCCGCGCCATTCCTTTCTTCTATGCCCGCTCGCTTTTGTACCACCGTCTCACCGTTATAAAATATACGACTTTAAACGCAGCTTCTTTCGCGATCCCAACAATCTCTCTCTCTCTCTCTTTCTCGATTATCGTGGCTTTTTTCTTTTTGTTTTTTTTTCTCGTGTCCTTAATTTACAGTGAGTGATTGCGCCGCGTCTTCACGGAGCGTGACGAACGACACGAGTAACGTTGTCTCGCGGGATTTAAAATTGCGAGTGACTGTACCTATTGTTAGGTGCCGCTTTTGTACAGTTTTTCTTAATTACAACTTGCGCTATATTTGCAAAATCTTTTATCTATTGCTGATTAGATCTTGTCGTTATAACTATTATGTATTATGCTATTGTTGTAATATAAACAAATTGATACATATAAAATTGCCGTTTCGCGAACGCACGCGACTCTAGTTTTTCCCGCATTGACGCGAAATTTACGTTTTAAAAGTCGTCTCGCGACGATGAACGAGGAGTGTATGCAAAGTTACGAAAATGAAACGCCTACGCGCGCCGCGTGCGGCGGATTATGATGCGAGTATATATATCCATCGCCACGGCTATGACATACGCGTATAATACAGTACGTGCGCTGGTGGAGCAACGAGGTGTGTCTCAGGTACTCTTTCAGAAGAGAAGTCTTCTTCTTCCTCTTCTTCTTTTTCTCACGAAAAGGATCTTGTTTCTCTGGATATTGGTTATCGATCCGGGGTCGCGGGTCAGGTCGACCTTTGTCGTTTCGTTCGAAAACGCATTTCGCGCATTTTGCAAGAAGCATCGCGAAATCATTACGTTTCCAAGACGATCGTTGGAAGAAAATATGCACACGTTTTGCATTTACACACGATGCTACTGCCGTTACATGTAGGTAACGTGAGTAAAGCGCAGTTTGCGATTCGTTTCGTCGATATAAGAATCTTACGTCTTTTGGATTCATTGATTCGAGAAATCGTGGTAACTCCGCGTTCGCCCCGACGACTGTGCCAAATTATTATTTCCCGCGCGCGAACGTCGACGTTTTTCGGCATACGCTCGTCTCAGCGAATTTTTTTTCAGCCTGGCGCGATTTATGACTGCGATCCGAAGACCCCGACCGACGCGCTTTGCTCTATCCGTTTCGTCGGCCCGATCTCTCGATCATCGATAGTACGTGGCATCGTTCCAAATGGCTCTGTAGAATTGTGATCCATCGTTTCTTCGTTTCTTTGCCTTTTCCAGCTCGACTTTCTCACCTGTGAACTGCTGGCCAAGCGATACTCGCGACATTTTACATGAAAGTTTAGTCGTGAACATCCTGTCTAGTCGACGAAATTGAATCAATTTCCAGAAAAACACTTCTTCTGCTGTTGCGCTCTTTGTGTTTTCGTATATTACCGTGCATTAGGTACACATGTCTCTTTTCAATGTCTCTCTTCTCGCTGCACTTTGCGAGAATTCTCAATTAATTTTTTTCGCGACGCTTATTCGCGGTAAATCGAAAACTTTTAAAAACTTGAAAAATTTTGTTCAACACTTTTGCATTATCGTAGTCGAAAATTTATTCTCGTCTCAGCGATTTGCACGAGACTGTGACAGAGATTCGCGAAATGAAAAACTGACTGTGAAATATGCGCGGACGTTTCACAACGTTCAGAGTATTTCGCGACTTGTTTGTTTCTCTCTTCTCGCACCGACACGATTTTACGATCGTTTCTCCGGGGCTAACCCAATTCCAGTCTGTGATATATAACAAGATCCGCGAGTGGTTTACTTGCCCGTCCGTGTTTTCTGACCCGCAGGAAAATCTCGTGACATTTAATAACCTTTTGTCACGGGGAGAAACGCATCTGATCGGATCTTGCGCGATAACAATGTTGTGTGCGCGATACGTTTCTTTATCGTGAAAATACACGGACGGACAAACGAGGAGGAGAAAAAAAGAGAAAAAGCGGTTTGACATATACACTCTTCAATCCTCTCTTTGTAGAGTTAACGTTTTAACAACTTTAGATAGAACGTGGATATTTTTTAGCGCACTTGGTCGAAAGTAGTCGCAATTTGCCGATTTCTTCTCGCTCACGATAATAAATAACGCGGCGAAGTGCCATAAACGATAAGAAGGGAATGGAAGAGGGAGCGGGGGTAACATGTCGCGAATCTGGCGAGTGTCCCAGATGAGAAGTGACCCGAAAGAATTCACTAACTTTTCGAAAAGCCGCGGTTACGGAACTCGCGCCAAATTGCCAGATAAATCAGACCCTAACTACCCCTCTCGTGCAATTGCGGCGCTCTTCTTCGGCGGCTTCGTTCTGTCCTTACCGTGATTTCTCGTTGCCGTGCCGTTATTCGAAGGCCGGACAGTCTTCCGACCACATTAAACCTCCGGATTTCCTTTATATAGCCTATATATATATATATACACACACACCAGTTGACGCGATCTTGTTTCGGATGCACGTGTTGCCAAATAACTATGGTGATTGGTAGCCACACAGACGCCTCGGTCTGTAAACTCCTCATCTTCGGGCATCGACGCGAGCGTCTATAATGGGGAGCTTTATTCTGCAATTTTGCAGGATTCTTTCTCTTCCGTATATCATTATCTGTATATCATTGTGTTCTTTAATAGCACCAGAGAATTGATCTATTATTATATGAAATAAGAATAAAATAAAACCTATTTGTAATCTTTTTAGTTAAAAAATATATTACTGTATATTTTATTTTTAAAACATTACTGTATGTTTTATTTAAAATACACAATAATGTTAAGAACCAAACGCGATGCGTTATAAATGTTTATTATATTTATATGCGATGTTTATCAGTTTTAATAAAATAAAACAGTTCTGAAAGAGCAAAATTAAACAGTGTAACGCGATATTCGCGGTAACGCCTCCAGGAATATTGACGCGAAATCAATAAATACGATCAAACGCATAATGACGTGAAGACAAATCGGATTGTTTATAATTTCCTATGCCTTCCAATAATTAATTTCAGCTTGTTGTTTGTTTGGAAGCGATACGCGTCGACGTTTATCGCTCTCGACAACAACAGATGTCGCAAGGGAAAACAAAAAAAAATAAAAATTTGCAAGC